GAGACACATCTAGATTATCTTACCGATTATTATCGCCCAGCAGAAGCAATTCAAACGCATCCTCCAAATTCCTAACGCAATAAAACGTCAAATTCTTCAGATGTAGTCTCCCAAGCTCGTCTTCTCGAATACTGATACGCCTTGAAACGCATCGAAAATTTCCAATGATGAGATATTTTATTATCCTTTCTTACTTTTCAATAAAAAGCGAGAAGCGAGAACATGTTCCACATTGGAGTGGAGAACAAAATATATATAAATCAATACCTATCCTTAAATTTAAAGACTCTGGAGTATTAAACATAACGCGACGCAAAATGAGGAATAAAAGCGATGCGGTTGCACCCGTTTCCTCTATGGTTATCGAAGCCTATCGGAATCGCGGTTGATCGGCCGGGTCAAGCAAGTTGTTTCCTTTTAAGGGGGTTCTTCTGGTTTTTACGAAATAGCCGTGCTCGCATAGTGGTTGACAAGCTGCTGTTTACGTTCCAGCCGGACTTACGGTAAATTTTCCAATCTCGTAACCGCGAAATCTCGTTGCTGTCTTCGATCTAGCAGGTCATAGCCAATCTCGTTGTAAATCTCCAGGTAAGCCACTTCAATGGAGTACACGTTCTCCGGTCGCTGAATAAAATTCAAGGGTGGACAAATAAATGTTCCTTATGTGCTCTAATAATTAACAAACGCAACCTTTTGTATCGCATCGAACAGGAATTGCAAAGTTCTCGGTATGATGCCACGGTTCTCGTTCTCCAGATCGCCGGTTATCGTGTACGTTTTCCCACTGGCTGTCTACGAAGTTCGTGGCTTGAAACGTATCATAGATTCACCTCTATCAATATTTCGTGGATAGAATACTCGAGAACGTAGCACGAATTCGCTATTTTCTTGGTTCTATTTATTTATTTGGAAACAAACTGGCGAAGCCCTTTTGATACGATAGAGTTGTGAGAATATTATACAAGTAGTTATAGAAATACATACACGCATAATGTAAGAAAGTAAAAGAAAAGTAAGAAAGAAATTAAAAGTGACAGCGCAATTACGACACCACAATATCACGATGTAGCTCAAAAATTAATCACTGGATAATTAAAAATTTAAATAATTAGTCTTTAAAATAGTACCAGAAACACAAATTTATTTGATCCATAATCTCGTTAGCAAGCAAACAGGTCCTCTAGGTGATCTAAGGTTTATGAATCTAAGTTTGATAGGGAAAATCTTAGTCCAGAAAAGTCCTCGAGAAGTCGAGGACAATCTATAAGAAATATATTAAATATTAAATATTAAATATAATATTAAATATATATTTAAAATATATTATATATTAAATATAATTATAGAAAATATAAAATATAAATTATTAAAAAGTCTTTCTCTCCGGAGTATAAATATTCAGTCTCTACGTTAAAGATTCATGATTATGTTCGTATCTGTGTATTAAATTCCCAAGTGAACGCGAAAATTTCTTCCAACAATATAAATTATATTGATACAGTGATCAGATTATACCGGCATACTCCAAGTATATACCAATTTTAATTTTAATTCATTTATTTGCACGAAACGGAAGGTGATGACAGAGGTGAGTAATCTATGGAACGAAAATTTCAAAGAACACAACCACAAATGAACAAAATAAAAGTTGGCAGACGTATCAAATCAGTAAGTTGAATTGAATATGAATTGAATTCTAAATACGACAAATAAGCAAATTGTTGACTAATTTAGTGATCCAAGCACGTTATTTTTAACACGTTCCGTGCCATGTGTACCACCGGTGGTACACGTTAAACTT